CGCGGCGGGCAGGCTGGAGCGGCCGAGCGTTCCCCGTCCCGGAGCACTCATTCGGGGACGCCCACGGCCGAGCGTTCCCCGTCCCGGAGCACTCATTCGGGGACGCCCACCGCGAACCCCGTGACCTAGCCCGCGCCTCCCCTCGCGCCGCGGGAGCGGCAGGTCCTCGGCAAGGCCGTTCCGGCTACGCCAAAACATCTTTACGTCTGCGAAAGACAAGGATGTGGACACAGCGCGTTGGCCTCTGGCATTCACAGCCCTGAATGTTTGGGCAATTCTGAGAATACAATGCGGATGAAACTCCCGGGGGGAGCAAACGGCAACATCAAAGAAACAAAAAGTAATTTTTAAGACTAGAAGAGAATACCAGTAAGTAGACATGTACCGTGTTCATCCCCCGGAAGACAAGAGAGGAGAATGCCAAGTCCTTCCAAGTTATTCCCAACATTCATGATAATTCCAGTGCAAGTTCTAGAATATGTTAACAAATACATCTGTAAAACAATGCTAGGCATTTATAGAAACATATTTAGTTAAGATATAAGAACACGGAAGAGTAAGACATTGAATTTATATATGTTACCTGTAAGAGGGTACATAGGAAGCCTTAATTGTATAGTTTCTTTTCCCCTTAGACAATAAAATATTTGAAGCAAGTCAGTCAGTGTCAAGATTTGATAAGGCTGGATAGTGAGTATGAGTATAGTGAGTGTCTGTTTTATAATGTTCTGATTTGGTCAGTGTGTTTGAAATACTTTGTAATAAAAAAGACTGAGTCATTCTAAGACTTTAGTTTGATTTATTTTGAAATAAGCTAGAAGTATATGAAAGTAAGAATAGCTCTAGAATCAACATTATTGTACTACCTTGGGGCCCTGTAATCACACAATAAAGGTTAGTAGTCCATTTCATTCTTAAATTCAAATTTCATTGGTTTAAATCTGTGAAACATTTTTGGGGTGTGTTCTACAGTCAGGATATTTGGTAGAATATGTAAGAAAAACACAAAAACGAAGTCTCTACTTTCAAAGACCTTACTTACCTTCTAGGTGGTGAAATAAACAATGCTCCCTTAAACTTGCAGAAACAATGGGCAGATGTTTATGGTTCAGGGGTAACTTCCTACCTAACTTTGTTTTCTGCATATTATTTTTTCTTTCTTTGTAGGAAAAGATCTGCATTTCATTGTTTTGTTACTGCCTACTACCTGTGATTCACTGTAAAATTAATAGGAGCAACAACATATGCAATAATCTAGAGGAACAGTGTTTCTAATTATAAATCTTATACAGAAATTTCTTTTTGGTAGATAAGATGGGAGTGCACTTCAGTGACATTTACTAAGTACCAGTTAAAAATGAAGCAGAAATTACTGTAATATATTTTAATCCATGTGAAATAAACTGTTAACCAACCCAAGCTGTTTTTCTTTCTTTTTGAGACAGGGGTTCACTCTATGTTCCAGGCCACGGTGCAGTGGCAGAATCATAGCTCACCATAATCTTGAACTCCTGGGCTCAAGTGATCCTCTTGCCTCAGCCTCCCAAGTAGCTGGGACTACAGGGGCACATCATCGCACCTGGCTTACTTAAAATTTTTTTTTGTAGAGATGGGGTCTTGCTTTGTTACCCAGGCTGGTCTCCAATTCCTATTTCAAGTGAACCTTCTGTTCTGGCTTCCCATAGTGCTCAGGTTATAGGCGTGAGCCACTGCACCCAGTTAAGAGCCCTATCCCTACATCCATTTAAACTTAGACCCTGAAATGAATACATGTTAAGAATATATCAGTTTTCGTGCATTTATATAAACCAGTGTGTATTTTTTCTTTTCCCAAATTATATATCCCAAGAACCAGTTATAAAATCAGACTGCCACAAAGTTACACAAAAATAAATTATAATTAGCTTGAAATTTTTATTGAAATTCAGGTTTAGAATTTAATACAATACCATAGTACATATTTTCTAACCAGTATTTTCACCTACTTTACATAATTTCTGGGCATAATTTTTAAGAATTGATACTTTCTGGTTAATTTTCCATAACATGTCAATTATACATTCATTAAAATTTCAGATACCTCCCCCTTTTTTTTTTTTTTTTTTTTTTTTTTTTTTTAGAGACAAGGTCTAACTGTCACCCAGGCTGAAGTGCACTGGTGCGATCACAGCTCACTGAAGCCTCGAACTCCTGGGCTCAAACAATCCTTCTGCCTCAGCTTCCCAAAACACTGGAATTACAGGTGTGAGCAACTGTGCCTGGCTGCTTCCCCAATTATTCTTATTCCAATGCCACAGTTTTTAAAAAAAGTTCAAATATCAAAAATTTAAGACATTAATACTGTGGCCACTATAATGTAAAAAAGGAGGAAAAAACTGTACAATCTTAACTATTTAAAATTCTTGTTAACACTGTAGTAATGGAATATGAATTTTTAACATAACCATATGGATTTCTCATTAGAATATTTAAGCATTTCCTACTGAAGCATGTCCAAAGTTATAAAAATCTTCTCTTTTAAACTAAGTGATACTGAATTACTCCAAATATAAGTGGCACTTTAGATACAGCATTGATTCTGGTGCGTATTGTGAGTACTGAAGGTACAGCCTGATCAGCAGCAGGTTACTGGAAAGAATAACAAGTGTGGCTTTCTTCATGGAGTGAGTCGTTTAGGATCACGAGGGAACATGGAAGTCTGACGAACATTATGCAACCCCAGAAACAGCATCGTCACTCGTTCCAATCCTGGAGAAGACAAAATAATCATCAATTACCTCTCAGGGTCTTTCCTGTTTAGAACTACTAACATAATATCATTGTTCAATTACATACTTTTCCTTGTTAGGAAGGAAAATGACTACCTTTGAGTTTATCTAAAATTGAATGTTTTGAGTATTGATTCAGAAAGAAATGCTCATATATGTGAAAATCACTAAATAAGATATCCTTAAGTGGTATGGAGTCTGAAATGGGAACCAAAGAAATCTATATAATGCACAAAATCTAGGATTTCAGCAATTAAAAAACCAAAACAAAAGACATTCTAAGCCTGCATGTTTCAAATGATACCAGATTCTGATTAAGTAGTCCAGGATATGAGGATGAGAGCCATAAACTTGTTCAAGGAAGCTTATTAATTAAGAGAAATACCAACAATACAATTTTATTGTAATTCTATAGACATTTAATGTGGTGGGCCCTAGCATAAAAAGTGCTGGAGTACGTTATTATACTAAAAGTTTGGCCTGTAGAAAAGAGTAATTTTGGCATGTGGCTTAAATATTATGTTACTGATAAGAATTAAGACCAATAATACCTGAGAAGAGCAGAAGTAACAAATGAAACTTCTTATGTGCATTTCATCTATTTCACTAAGGTTTTAGAGAATTAATGTACCACACAGAGAAGGCAAGGTCAAAGAATATTTTTATATAGCAATGGCTTCTAATTTTAAATAGTTTAAATATAAAAAAGAGAACTAACATTTTTATTGCCATTCTTTACCAATGAAATCTGTAGATGAAAAATCGAGCCTGTATTATGGTGATCTAAGACTAATCTTTTTTTTTTTTTTTTTTTTTGAGTTGGAGTCTCACTCTGTCACCCAGACTGGAGTGCAGTGGCCGCTCCCGGTCACCGCAGCCTCACCCTGCTGGGCTCCGGCGATCCTTCCGCCTCAGCCTTCTGAGTAGCTGGAATTACAGGCGCGCGCTACCATGCCTGGCTAATTTTTTGATTTATTGCAGAGATGAGATCTCGCTGCCCAGGCAGGTCTCGAACCTGCGGGCTCAGGCAATCCATTCACCTCAGCCTCCCAAAGGCGCGGGATTACAGGCTGAGCCACCGAGCCTGGCTAAGACTAATCTTAAAAAAAACCCCAAACACCATATCTCATTGTTCTCTCAAATGTTAATGATCAAAAAACAGGTGGTATTTTGATAACTATTTAGGCTTCCTTCTTCATAATTAAGGTTAAAATTTTACAGTGTCAGTCACAGAAATTTATATAATATTTATGCAAAAATGCACATTACTCAATATTCTAAGAGAAAACAGTCCTAAATTTTCATAAAAATTTAAGCTATATGTTCAATGTAGCATTATAAAAGCAAAAGGCTGGTAATAATGTATAAGTTCATCAATAGGAAGCTGGTTAACAAGATTATGGTGTATCCTTTCAATGGATTCTATGTAGAGATGAAAAAAGAATGAAAAAGCTCCTTCCGTATTGATAAGCTATAAGCTACAAAATATATTAAGTAAAAAATATAAGGTACTAAATGGTTTATATAGTATCCTACAATTTGTGTAAAAATACTTAAAGAAATATGTGTATCTTTTTGTATATGCAGATTATTTTTGCAAAGGCAAGCAATTAAAAAACTGTGTTAAAATACATGTAACATAAAATTTACCATCTTAATCATTTTTAAGTATATAGTTTAGTGGTATTAAATACATTCATAGTGTTGTGCAACCATCAGCACCATCCTCTATAAATTAAAAAAAACCAAACTTATGTAATGACCTTTACTAGTGCTATTTTAAAATTTCCCCCCAGCTTTATTGAGGGATAATTGACAAATAAAAATTGGGTGTATTTATGGTGTACAATGTGATATTTGGATATGCTTCAGAAATGATTAAATCAAGCTAATACATCTATCACCTCACATACTTAATTTTTTTGTGGTTAGTACTTTAAAAATCTACTTAAAAATATAAAAGAGAGAGAGAGAGACTTACTCTGCCACCTAGGTGGGAGTGCTATAATGTCCAATCTTGGCTTACCGTAGCCTCCACCTCCTGGGCTCAAACAATCCTTCTGCCTCAGCCTCCCAAGTAGCTGGGACTACAAGCATGTACCACCACACTCAGTTAATTTTTAATTTAATTTTTTTTTTTTTTTTGTAGAGCTCTTGCTACATTACTCCTGGCTTCAAGCAATCCTCCTGCCTTGGCCTCCCAAAGAGCTAAGATTCATGTCTGAGCCATGGCACCTAGCCTAAAACTTTTAGCAACTTTCAAGTATACATTTTAACTGTAGTCACCATGCTGTACAGTAGCTTCCCAGAACTTTATTCATCCTAACTGAATCTTTATACCCTTTTACCAGTGTCTCCCCAACAACCATTCTACTGTTTCTCTGAGCTCAACTTTTTAGATATCACATATGAAAAGATCAAGCAGTATTTGTCTTTCTGTGCCTGGTTTAATTTGCTTAGCATTTTGTCCTCCAGGTTCATCCACATTGCTGCAAGTTGCAGGATTTCCTTATTTTTTAAAGGATGAACAGTATTTCAAAGTATATACACACAGGTTGACTCTGAAATGCTCCAAGTTCCAATTTTTTTTGCATGCCAACATGATGCTCAAAAAAAAAAAAAAAAGCAAAAAAGTTGATTGGAACATTTATTTCAGATTTCTGGATTTGGGATGCTCAACTGGTAAGCATATTGTAAATACTCCAAAATCTAAAAAAATTCCAAGTCAAACACACTATTTTTGATCCCATGCATTTTGAATAAGAAATCAACCTGTATTACATTTCTTTATCCATTTATTTATTCATTGATGGTCACTAAATTTTGGCTATTGTAAATAACATTGCAATTAACATGGGAGTGCACAGATCTCTTCGACATACTGACTTCATTTCCTATGGATATATAATGAGAAGCAAAACTGATGGATCATATGGTAGTTCTATTTTTAATTTTTTGAAGAATGGTCATCCTGTTTTTCATAATGGCTGTACCAATTTTACATTCCCAACAACTGTTTACAAACAAGGGTTCCATTTTCTCCACATCCTTACCAACGTTTATTATCCCTTGTCTTTTTGTAAAAGCCATTCTAACAGGTGTAAGGTGATTCTCTCACTCTGGTTTAAATGTCCATTTCCCTAATGATTAGTAATGTTGAGCATTTTTTCATATAACTGTTGGTAATTTGTATATCTTCTTTTACGAAATGTCTATTCAAGTCCTTTGCCCATTTTAAAACTAAGTTGTTTACTTGCTATTAAGTTGCATGAGTTCCTTATTTATTTTGGGCTTTAAGCCCTTATCAGATGTATGGTTGGCAAATATTTTCTCATTCCATACATTATCTCTTCATTTTGTTGACTGTTTCCTTTGCCGTGCATAAGTTTTAATTTTCATGCAATCCCGTTTGTCTATTTTTGCTTTTGTAGCCTGTGCTTTTTGGGTCATATCTAAAAAAAAAATCATTGCCAAGACAGATGTCAAGCTTGTTTCATATGTTTTACTCTCACAGTTTAACAGTTCCAGGTCTTATGTTTAAGTCTTTCATCTACTTTAACTCAATTTTTGTATATGGTGTGAAATAGGGTTCAATTTCATTATTTTGCATGTAGATATCCAGTTTTCCCAGCACCATTTACTGAAAAGATTGTTCTTTCTCCATTGTGTTAAGCACCTTTGTAGAATGAATTGACTGTAAATGTGTAGACTTATTTCTGGGCTCTCTATTCTGTTGGCCTACATGTTTGTTTTATATACCACACTGTTTTTACTTTTATAGCTTTACAGTGTATTTTGAAATCTGATAGTGTGGTGCCTCTAACTTTGTTATTTTGGCTCAAGACTGCTTTGGCTTTTGAGATCTTGTATGGTTTCACACAAATTTTAGAAGTTTTTTTTCTGTGAAAAATGTCACAGGAATTTTGATAAGGATAGCACTGATTTGCAGATTGCGTTGAGGAAGTATGAACACTGACAATACTAATTTTTCCAATTCATGAACACAAGACATATTTCCATTTATTTGTGTCTTCTTTAATTTCTTTCATCAATGTTTTATGGTTTTCAGTGTACTTATCTTTCACTTCCTTGGTTAAATCTATTTCTAAGTATTTTATTTTATTTTTTGATGCCAATGTAAACAGGATTGCTTTCTTTGTTTGACCCACTGATCCATTTTGAGTTAATTTTTGCATATGGTATTAGGTAAGGATCCGATTTCAATCTTTTGCAAGTGGATATCAGTTTTCTCTGCACCATTTATTGAAAAGACTGTCCTTCTACACTCTTTTAACTTGAAATTTTTTTGAGTTAAAGTCTCACTCTGTCGTCCAGACTAGCGTGCAGTGGCACGCTCCTGGCCACCACAGCCTCGAACTGCTGGACCTTGGCGATCCTTCCTCTCAGCCTTTCAAGTAGCTGGAACTACAGACATACGCCACCACGCCTGGCTAATTTCTTGATTTATTGTAGAGATGAGGTCTCGCCAAGTTGCCCAGGCGGGTCTCGAACCCGCGGGCTCAGGCAATCCACTCACCTCGGCCTCCCAAAGCGCGGGATTACAGGCTGAGCCACTGAGCCCGGCCTTAACTTGAAATTTTTATAAGTATATTATCTATTCTCCAAAAAATCCTAAAGCAAACAACAAATAAAAACTTCAACAAAACTACACATTCAAAATTCTATTTAAGAGTGTTTGACGGGGGCGGGATTGGCAGTAGTGGGGAAACTGCCAGAGTACCATATGATGAACATTTGTATACCTAATCCTGAATTGTACCCCACATATTTAAAACAAAAAATTAAAAGTAAAATTAAAAAAAAACTTAAAAAAAGAATGTTTGCTATGAACATCCAAAGATGAGTAAAATATTTACTCATTTAAAATTGCAGAGATGTTTCTTACATATACTATAGAAGTTGCCTTAAAGTCAATAAAATTTTATGTCAATAAAAATACTTAGCAGCTCTGAGCTAATTTAAGGTAGAGCTTTAGTATGGGCTAATGTGAATGAGCTCATGGTAGCAGAGAGAAAACAGGACACTCAACATATAAGACACTTGGCTTCTAAACTCTTAGGAGAAAAAGAATTGTTGGAACTTTATTACAATAGTATTTCAGAACATAAAAGTTAGCTGTTCATTTTGTCCCTTGGAAACAAATTTTCATAATTCACTTTTAAAAACTCTTAAAGTTTAAATTTGTATCCTATGTAGCACTTATGGACTTATTTGCAAGTAAAAAAAGAATATTATTACCAATGCCTCCACCAGCATGAGGAGGTGCTCCGAAGCGGAAGGAATCAATGTAAGCCTTAATTTTCTCCAAATCTACAAAAAGTCCCAAAAACAAAACAAAATTTATTATTTTATTTACCTTAAAAAAATCACAAAAGCAATGACTGTTCAATGAGGATTTTTAGAAAGACTGTTTCTGAGAAGTCTTTAAAATGTTTAAGGTGTGTTTTTTCCAGAACATACGTTCTCCCAAATATATTTGAAGTTGTTTACCAATTCCATGATGTAAAGCTCTCTCTGTCAGCAGTTGAGGATCATGTATTCTTTGAGCTCCTGACAATATTTCTTCTCCTCTCATGAACATATCATAAGAGTTGGACTGTTTCTACAGGAAAAACAGAAAACACCACTCTTCATGTGGCTATCATCTTATTTCCATTACACATATGTGGGAAAAAAAATCTGTTACACGAAGATTAAGTTTATTTTTTCCTATAATTAATGAGGCAGCCTTGCTCTCTAAAGTGGAATTAAACTCTTGTACTGAGGGTTGAACAATAACTTCTTATCTATGTCAGATTCTGTGCTCTTCTTCTCCCACACCCCCACCAACAACAAATCAGCACATCTAACTTTTAGGAAGTAGTGCTGATACTTTTTTCACTTTATTATCTGAAACGTTTTTAAGCGTGCTACTGATTTTTGAGTCACTTTTGGAACGTCAAGTTATCAACAAGTGTTAGTCTTTTTCAATTTTTTTTTTACTTTAAAGAAAATAAATTGAACATCAATTTAACGAAGCTTAACCTGTTCCTTATCAGGTATCTGATAGCAGCTGTTTTAACTTATTTCCCCTGTCTTTCAATAAAACAACTGTTCTCAAGGTGTGATTCCTGGACCAGTAGCTTCAGTATTACCTGAAACTTGTTAGAAATGCAAATTATCAGTCCCCACTCCAGATCAACTAATCAGAAATACAAGGGGTGGGGCCCAGCAATGTGTTTTAAAAAGCTCTTCAGGTGATTTGGATACACACAAAAGTTTAGACACCACTGCAATGGGAAGACAGTATAAGGCCACAAGACATTATATAGATTACATAAATTCTAGGTCAAGGATAATGACATAATAATTTGCTAAAGTATGCACATCTATTAGTACTATTTATCATTTAGATGATCTTTCTTCCTCATAAGTCTTCCAAAAAATGGCCAAGGAAAATGATTTTAACATAGGTTTTTAGGATTTTCTATAATATTAAAATTTTACAATATCATTTTGACTGAAGTGATAGACACCAGTAGTAATATATGTAACTTGTCTATCAAAACTGCAAATTATCAATGAAAACCATCATTCTCATTATACAATTTGACAAACAGTCACAATAGTTTTAAACAGGTTATTTAAAACCCAATTACTTACAGGATTTCTTGGGTCAGGCATGGTATAGAAAGGTCTTACAGCCAATGGATATTTATCAAGAATATAAAAATCCGTGTCATACTATAAAAAGAATAAATGCAGTTAAAATACATTTTTAAAAGGTAAAAATTGATAACACCCTGTGGTAATTTACTTTTTTATATGTAAATCTTTGTTCTTCTAAATCCAGTAATTATACTGTCTATACAATGAGGCTCTGCTTTTTTCAAGTACCAATTTGTATCCTATAGCATTTTGCCATGATGTCATAAATTCTTCCTATATCTAACTTGTAGGTGCTGTTTAGTATTCAATCATAGTTTAAATATTCATGTTTCCCTTCTTTTTGAAAACGTACCTTTTAAATTTCTCTTCCATGGTAAATTATGCTGTGATAAACATCTTTGATTTTCATTTTTCTCTTTGTTATTCTAGCTCATCTCATATGCATTGCATAAATGTTTTGTTAAATTATCTAAAATCCTGTTGGGTTTCTTTTCTTTTCTTTTTTCTTTTAGTTGGAGTCTCTCTCTGTCGCCCAGGTTGGAGTGCAGTAGCACACACACAGCCACCGCAACCTTGACCTGCTGGACTCAGGTTATCTTTCCACATCAGCCTTCCAAGTGACTGGAACTACAGATGCACATCACCCCGCCCAGCTAATTTTTTGATTTATTGTAGAGACGAGGTCTCACTAAGTTGCCCAGGCTGGTCTCGAACCCCAGGGCTCAGGCAAACCTCTCACCTCCACCTCCAAAAGTGCTGGGATTATAGGTGTGAGCCACCATGCCCAGCTCCTTTTGGGTTTTACAGAAACTATGTTAAGACGATAAATTATTTTGGGAAAAATGAACATCTTTTACAATATTCATCTTCAAAAAACCTGGATTATTATCCTAACAATTTAACCTTTTATTCAGATATATAAGTAAGATTTCATAATTTTCTGCAAGTGAAAACTACTATTGAAACAAATAACATTAACTTGAAATTATGACATTTTTGCTAAAACTGGAGATGAGAATATTAACAGTTGTAGTCAGCTGAGCAGTTTCAAGTGCAACCAGCAGGAGGAGCTCAAGGACTTTTTTCATTTTATTATACCATACTCATTGTTTTTTTTTTTTTTTTTTGAGTTGGAGTCTCACTCTGTTGCCCGGGCTGGAGTGCAGTGGCATGCTCATGGCCACCTTGGTGTCGACCTGCTGGGCTCCGGCGGTCCTTCTGCTTCAGTCTCAAGTAGCCGGAACTATAGGTGTGCCCTGCTAATTTTTTGATTTATTGTAGAGAGGAGGTCTCATCATGTTGCCTAGGCTGGTCTCGAACCCGTGGGCTCAGGCAATCCTCTTGCCTCAGCTTCCCAAAGTGCTGGGATTACAGGCTTGAGCCATCGCACTGGGCCTACCATTCTCATTTTTAAAAAGATACCTTACTAAGTTTGGCTTTTTCCTCTTTGAGTTTTAGTATGAGATAGGAAAGTAACTTTTATATAAGAGGCAGAAAGAAAGTTCATTCATCAAGTTTCATGAGACAGCAGGGGTATATAAATTAATTCTTTCTAAATAATTCTGAGGTCATTTCTAACTAATCGAACAATCTAACATGGGTATCATTTTTAGACTCCTCAGTACAACTTTCATTTGGGCAAGAGTGCGTCTGAATATTTTTCATTTTTCTAAAAAAAAATTTTTTTTTTTTGAGTTGGAGTCTCACTCTGTCACCCAGACTGGAGTACAGTGGCCGCTCCCGGCCACCGCAGCCTCGACCTGCTGGGCTCCGGCGATCCTTCCGCTTCAGCCTTCCGAGTAGCTGGAACTACAGGCGCACGCTACCACGCCTGGTTGATTTTTTGATTTATTGTAGAGATGAGGTCTCGCTGCCCAGGCGGGTCTTGAACCTGTGGGCTCAGGCAATCCACTCACCTCAGCCTCCCAAAGGCGCGGGATTACAGGCTGAGCCACCGAGCCCGGCTATTTTTCTAAAAATTTTTAAAAAAACATTGTCCCCCCCCGATTTTTATTTATCCTGAAGTCATACCATTCTAGGACGATTGTTCCCTCTGCAATTATTCTTTAGTAATAGGATATATATCAGATTTAGAAAAAGAAATTTAGCATGTAAAAAGAGTCCTACCTTTTCCTTTACCAAACGACCCAGCAGTTTTTCATTTGGTGTACTGAAAAAGAAACATGAAATCAGGTGTTCGAAGATCAAACAGCAACTTAAAAGAGTTTTAAACTAATAAGGCACTCCTGTTTGAAGTTCTCAAAGGATTAAAAAAATTCGACCAAAAAACTTTTCAAAAAGGTGAGTACTATTGAAAACCACTTATGAATGCACCTTGGTACAGTGACTTAGTGTTTAGCTGCTCAAATATTTAATTAAAGCCGTAAACAGAATTTAGCAATTCACTGATTCAGAAACATCATGGATAAGATAATTTCCTACAACTATATACAATAAAGTTCACTATACTAACAAGGGTTTGTCTTGCCATTAAGTGGTCTCCCCTTTTTGGTACTCTTTATCAAAGGGTTATAAAATAAAAATCAGTATTTCCACATTTTAAAAATGCAAATAAATATTTTAAATTCCTATATAAACTTACATAAATATTTTAAATTTCTACAGCCAAGAGATAGCTACTTTAGCTTCAATCTTACTTAAAAACAATTTCCACAATACTTAAAAGTATTGCCCAACTTCATAGAATTTATAATTTGTCTTAAAATGACACCTAGCAATACAGGAGATGCTTAAAACCTTATTTTTGTTGTTGTTGTTAAACAAAAATAAAGGTTTCGAATGAAATATGTTAAAAAAACCCTAAAAAAATGACAATACCATTCCCTTTCCCAACTGTAGATATATTGTACATGGTTAAAATAGCTTAACTAGGAACCCTTAAATAAAACAGAAGTAGATAGTAATTTTCAATCTTTATTACACTGCATAATCTGCTTCAAAATTGTAAGCTGTATGACCTGAATTCAGAGAATACTATTCAAATACTGAATATATTATATAATATGTATCATACTATATAGAATGGTGGTTTTCAAATAACTTATGGAGATGTTAACAGTTTTATGCTCCAGTGCGGTGTGGGGATAAATTTAGACTGTTGTCTGCTCTCTCTAACACCACTGATTTGGAAAGAGAAGTAACAACATACTAGATGATAAATCACAGGCAAAACTCCTCCAACTTTTCAAAGGGTTACAATATGGCGGGGAGGATGAAAAATTTTGTTTATAAACAAAATTACTAAGCCTTAGGCTCAGTGAAAAAAATCATTTAATCATATTTGCATTCTCTCCTACCTTAAGTCTAATTACTAAGGTTTTTACTAAGATTTCAAAAAAGACAAACCTCAGATCGTCTTCATCTCCCATTTCGATCCCAGCTTCTCTAAGCATAGCCAATGCTTCACAGTACTCCAGTCTTAGGGTTGGCTCCAAAAATTTGAATGGCTCACATGGGAATTGTTTATTTACTGTTTGAATTTCAGTCTGAAACCTGATTTAGTTAATAAAATGTGTGAGATGGTTCCCCCACAAGAGGTCACTGTGGCAATATACAAAATCATGATTTCAATCAGTATATAACCAGGAAAGCATTATCAAATTATTAAGATTAAAAGAGTATTTTTTTTGCTAAAGTATTTATACATGAAATGATAGCTGGGATTTGCTTCAAAATAATAGGGCATAAGGGAAGATGGGAAAAACAAAATTGGCCATGGTTTGACAAGGGTTGAAGCTGGGTGATAAGTACATGAGGCCTCATTAGGCTAGGGTCCATATTTTTGTATGTGTTTTGGAATTTTCCATAATTAATAGAGTTGACATATAAAGTATGTTTATAGTCTATATAGAAAGAAGTATCCTTTTTTTTTTGAATCAGGGTCTCATTCTGCTGCCCAGGCTGGAGGGCAGTAACATGATCACGGCTCACTGCAGCCTCAACCTCCTGGGCTCAGGCAATCCTTCCACCTCAGCCTCCCAAGTAGCTGGGACTACAGGTGCATGCCACCGTGCCCCACTAATTTTTTTCATTTTTTGTAGAGACAAGTTCTCACTATGTTGTCTAGGCCAGTCTTGAACTCCTGGACTCAAGCAATCCTCCCACTTAGACCTCACTTACAGGTATGACCCACTGTGCCCAGTAGAGAATTTATTTTCTAGAAATAAAAACAAGACTTTTTGATTGGTCTTAAAAGATTTTCATAAGAATAATAAAGCTTAACCACTGATTTATACAAATCTTGATACATAAGAAGGCTTAGAAGGAATTCACTAATTGATTTTTCCCCAATAACTGACTTTTAAATGGTTTTTCTTTGCTTTGGATATTAACTCCCATTCATATCTACCAATGGTATGAATTTCTATAGTATAGAAATATGACTATCAATATTTTAAAATACACATATATTATTCTTCTATAAGATACATACTAATGATAAATATGACAGAAGTCAGATAATCCAATATACAAGTAACACAAAAACTTAAATTCCAAATAATTTATAGAATGTAGAAAGAAAGCTTCTATGAAAAATTTATGAAATTGCCACTTTAAATCTATTTAAGATCAGTAGTAGCTGGGCTCGGTGGCTCAGCCTGTAATCCCGTGCCTTTGGGAGGCTGAGGTGAGTGGATTGCCTGAGCCCACGGGTTCGAGACCCACCTAGGCAGCGAGACCTCATCTCTACAATAAATAAAAAAAAAATCAGCTGGGTGTGGTAGCGCATGCCTGTAATTCCGGCTACTTGGAAGGCTGAAGGATCACCGGAGCCCAGTAGGTCGAGGCTGTGGTGGCCGGGAACGGCCACTGCACTCCAGTCTGGGCGACAGAGTGAGATTCCAACTCAAAAAAAAAAAAAAAAGAATCAATAGTAATGGTGTCCAAGTCTAATCTGTAAGCAGAGATTTGATTAATCCCAAAGGCTCAAATTGCTTGGTCTGTTGTTATAAAAATCTAGGCCAGGCGCAATGGCTCTCGCCTGTAATTGCAACACTTTGGGAGGCCTAAGTGGGAGAATTGCTTGAGCCCAGGAGTTCGAGACAAGACTGGACAACATAATGAGACTTCATCTCTACAAAAAAGCAAACAAAAAATTAGCTAGATGTGGTATCATGTCCCTGTAGTCCCAGCTACTTGGGAGGCTGAGGCAGAAGAATCACCTGAGTCCAGGAGTTCAAGGTTACAGGGAGCTGTGATCTTACCACTGCATTCCAGGCTGGGCAACAGAGTGAAACCCTGACTTAAAGAAAAAACAAAACCAAAAAACCATACACAAACAAAAAACCAAAAAGTAAAAAGCAAACAAACAGAAAAACTAAGTGGAAATTTCAAACTCTAATACTAAATAGATAAGCTATCAATATATTTAAAAAACAAGTTTCAGAAACTTTCTTGAATTACAAGTGTGAAAAGAAAATGAGAAAAGCTGTGTTCCTTCATTGTAGTTCCAAAGTACATTTTGTTCGTAAAAAAACATTATTAGTTGTTCCACAAACTATTTTAAAGTCGCTTAAAATAAACAGCATCAAAATATTTCAGAGGACAAAAGTGAAGAAAAAGGTTGTCTGCAATTAACTAGTCATTCAGGGTACAAAGCAATGCAGAGAATGCCTGGAAATACTGGTGTTTATGCTACAGTATTAGTACATAAGATCTCTGATTAATTTCCACATTCTTAAATTTATTTGTTGGTTTTGCAATGGAGGAAATAAAAATTTCTATTTTTGAACTCTTAAAACATCAATGAAGCATATAAAATACATCAACAATGAACAGTTAAATCAGTGGTCTTCAAATACAAATTTTAAATATGATTCTTCATTAGCTATTAAGATGCTAGATAAGTCTATTATAGCCTATCTAATACTTGAAATATAGCCACAAGTACAGAGAATGAAAAAAAAAAAAAAGACTCTTGATCAACCTTAACTTGTTTCCATAAAATCTTTTCATATTTGCTCCATGTTAAACATTCACAAGTTAATAACTTTCAATAACCTCTAGAGGAAAAACTATTTGCCAGTTTAGAGGGTGTACCTAAAATGGACATTTTACATTATTCAATTTTCTGAACATCTAGAATATGTCTAATATTTCTGTAAATGTTAATTCACCAGACTCAAATAGGTAAAAAGTTCCTTCAGTCTACTCATTTCTAATTTTTACTGAACACTCAATGTAAACATATACTGATTTAAGAAATAACCATATTTGGCACAAGTTTAATTTACATGTGGGCAGGTAAAGATCAGACATAAGTAGGCTGAAGGGATTTTTTATAATACTAAAAGATACTAATAATACTATTTTCACTTAATAGCTGAGGAAACTGAGGCACAGAGTTAGACAACCTGCACAAGACCCACACAGACAAGTAGCAGAACTGGGATCTGAACTCAGGCTATCTGGATACAGATGATTCCAAGCTCTTAACCACTCTCATACTACCTCCCAAATGCTTTATTTCTTGAGATATCAGTGTAAAGGAAAAAAACATAGGGTGTTCACAATGTGGTACATTTACCACCAAAATAGAGGTTAACTAGTTGAGGCCCCAACTGACTTGGATCCAGCACTATTTTGAATGTGGATTTTTCCTAATCAATTAAAATGATCATCTAATTGGTAAGTCTTTATATACATGCCCAATAGAAACTTAGTTTACATGTTTTAACTCAATAATTGTTTTTCTTTTTTTTAAAGAACTTAGATTTAAAATTAAGTTCATTCAAGTATGTAAAATACTCTTTACCTTTCTTGAAGTCCTTTGAATATTTGTACCAAGGTGTCAGCAATTTCTTCCATAACTTCATGGTAATGGTAATTAAAAGCCATTTCAATGTCCAAACCAACAAATTCAGTCAGATGTCTGTGGGTATTAGAATCTTCAGCTCTGAATACTGTGAAGTTAATAAAAGAAATAAACAGCAAATACTGTTGTAAATTTTGGATAAATTGGGATTTAAATACAAAATTGTATTTAGTAGGATTCCAGTGTTATGATTTTCTTATCATTATAGGGCTGGAAGGATCTTTGATAAGCCATCTGTTTCAGCATTCCCTTGGACAGCAATTTCATTACAAACTCCTGTAGTCATGTAGTAAAAGCTGTACCAGATGTAAATTAATAAATGAGGCTCACGAGAACCCATGGCAAACACAAGATTCCGATTACTTACTTCTCAACAAGTAAAAATAGATTCAATTACAACCAATATAGTAAGTTATTCTCAATTTTATTACAATCTGACTCAAACTAAATGAAACTGTACAAATGAAGTAACATTATCCACATTCCAGGCATTGACTAATTCCAGTTCTTATTATTCACAGTGCATTTTTCTCCCCTTTTAGGGTTCCTGACTCTGGCCCAGCTCAATGAATTGCAATGCTTCCCTAATGACTACTATAACAAGACATAAAATGACAAAAAGTCTAAAGCCTTTATGCTTTCACAATTCAGTCCTAACCTGTGTTTTCCACCCCTTCTTAACACTCGTCTCGTTTTTGTTTTCTCCTGTGGTCCCTGCTCTTCACCTACCCTACTTCTCTGACTAGAACGCCATCTTTGTTGTGTATATGTGGGGGAACCTAAAAAACCCAGGATTTATTTATCAAACATGGTATATTTATTAGTACATGTTTAAACTTCAGTCACTTTCAAAATACTCTTCATTCGATCGATACACCTATCGAGATTTTTTTTCCATTGCTAAAAACAGCTTTAGAATTCATCAGTTTTGATGTCTTTTAGTGCTTCTGTTGTTTTCTGTTTTACCTCTTCCACACTAGCAGGACATTTCCCTTTGAGGACTTTTTTCATCCAGGGAAACAACAAAAAAAGTCATTAGGGGTAAGATCGTGTATGGGGAGGATGTTTGGGGAGGATGGGGCATGGGGTTTGTGTCATTTTTGGTCAAAAACTGCTGAACACTCAGAGTGGTGTGAGTAGGTGTGCTCGTAAATCACCCATATTATGAAATGAGCAAATGCACTGAAAAAAAATTCACTGAAGCCAAATGCAGCCTCTCACAACAACGCTAGCTGGCACACTGATACCAATGGGTTCCTAGAACACTTAATTACCTAGCAGGGAAAGCCTGTACTACAAGGGGCTCCCCCTCCAAAATAATAATTACAGTTTTTTTTTTTTTTTGGTCCCTCCTTGTATCCTACTCAGTCTTTAAAGCACATTTCAATTTGAATTTTCTTTTACAGTGACTCTAGCAAACTGTTTTTTCCCTCTTTTTACACTTATATCTATGCTACATAATTTATATCACTTTGCTAATTATACAGCACAATCTGATTATTCACTGTGAAAATCTTTTGACTATTCCCTAAGGCTGATATGTATACATGTCTTATCCTATTGGGAGAAGATACAATGTTTATTCCCTTGTCACTCAAAGGGTGGTCTGCAAATCAACAGCATCAACAGTACCTGGGAGCTTATAAGAACTGCAGAATCTCAGGGCACTCCCCCAGATCTACTGATCACAATCCGTATTTTGTGGTTTTTTTTGAGTTGGAATCTCACTCGGTCACCCAAGCTGGAGTGCACTGGCACGCTCACAGCCACCGCAGCCTCAACCTGCTGAGCTCAGATGATCCTTCCGCCTCAGCTTTCCAGATAGTTGGAACTACAGGCACGTGCCACCATGCCCTGCTAATTTTTGATTTTATTGTAGAGATAAGGTCTTGCCAATTTGCCCAGTCTGGTCTCAAACCCACGGGCTCAGGCATCCTCTCACTTCGGCCTCCCAAAGTACAAAATTATAGGCGTGAGCCACCACACCCGGCCAAAAACTGCATTTTAACAAGATCCTCAGGTGATCTATGCACATGTTAATATTTGAGAACTGCTGATTGGTTCTTCTTTCATGTACATGGTACCTAGCACAAGGCTATATATGCAGCAGGTATTCAACAAATAACTCGTTAATAAACTTAGAAAATTAAACCCTTAATGATTTCACCTGTTTTTCAATTAGCAGGTATTTAGTTTTCATTATATAAAATAATCTGGTAAGTTTTTAAAAAATGATGTAAAGCTGGTTTTTTTGCTTATATTTCTAGCTTCATAAAAGAATTTGCCATATGATCACCCATGCTTGACTTTTAGCAAACAAATCTTAAAAACCATGTTAATATAATTTATTAAATATAAGATATTTGTCAGTAATTTCTAATGGACTTTAGCAATGACCAACAGTAAGGACAGTATAAACAATAATAGTGAAGTAGAACAGCTCTGGAATAAAATTGGTAGCAAAGGAGGCAGAGATACACTGTAAACTTACAACCATAGTAAGGACTTACAAAGGACAACAACGACATTATTTTGAAGACTGCAACTACCTGTTCTTTAGAGTTGATGAGGAGCTGGAAGAACAGTCCAAATCGGAGCTTATTCTTTTCTATTTGCACTTAGGTATAGAAAGTTATATACTTAGGTATATTTCAGATGGTGTATATTTTTAAAGCATGAATTTTAAAAATGAGATATTTCCAAGATAAAATTTTCTTCAGCATTCTTCTATAGGAATACACAGTCCTTACAATTCTATTCATGTGAATGGGGTTCAACTGTTTAAAGAATTATTGAGCATACTATTTTTTGTTTTTGGAAAATGTTCACTCAAATACATTGTCATTCCTACCTCAAAGTGTTTGTACAGTCAGCAGATAGAAGAATCTAAGCTTTCAGAATGTCTGAATATTATATAAGTAAAATGTGTTTCTAAAACCATAACTACTGTACAATTAATGAACCTGGAAAAAAAAAAAAACGTAACTGACAAAATCTTACCTGGTCCAATACAGAAAACCTTCTCAAAATCAGCACAAATGCACATTTGCTTGTACAGCTGTGGGGACTGAGCCAGATATGCATTATTTTTAAAATATGACACAGTAAATACATTGGCTCCTCCTTCACTGGCAGCTGAAATAGAGACATTTATATTATTATAACCAATTATAAAATTATCAATGCAAACTTCTAGTTAAAAACAGTTTATATTCAAGTAGTTCCGTTTAAAAAAAGAAAAATTGGAAAATTGGGAACTGCAGCTAAATTGTGATCTATGTACAGTTTTCTTATGGGTGAGTCTAAATAGTTTATATTTAAGCCAGATTTAGTTCCTTGGCTAACCCTTTATTTCACTTCTTTGGACATACATGATCCCCTTCTGCATCAATTTCAAATCTTTTAAAGCAACTCTAGAGTTGCAAAACAAGCACAAAAAAAGGAAAACAGATATTCTTACATTTTTCTATTATCAAAAATGCAATGTTCAATTTTTTAATTTGTAATTAAATGCCACCTGTTACACACTTTTTAGTATTACTTAAGCAATTCTAAAAAGGGTCAAATGATTCAGACAAGATTCTTATATAAGAATGAGAACTGGTTGGCCGGGCTCAGTGGCTCAGCCTGTAATCCCACACTTTGGGAGGCCGAGGTGAGTGAACTGCTCGAGACTGCGGGTTTGAGATCTGGCTGGGCAACTTGGCAAGACCTCATCTCTACAGTAAATCAAAAAAATTAGCCGGGCATGGTGGCATGTGCCTGTAGTTCCAGCTACGTGGAAGGCTGAGGCAGAAGGATCACCACAGCCCAGCAGGTCGAGGCTGCGGTGGCCAGGAGCGGCCACTGCACTCCAGTCTGTGCGACAGAGTGAGACTCTGCCTCAAAAAAAAAAGAATGAGAACTGGTTGGGCATGGTGGCTCACACCTATAATCCCAGCACTCCAGGAAAAAGCGGCAGGAGGATCATTTACAGCCAGTAGTTGGAGATTAGCCTGGGCAAGAAAGCAAGATATTGTCTACCAAAAACAAACAAACAAATTTATTTCAGGCTTAGAGGAACAGATGAAAAGAAAAAGAGATAATTCAGGAGATTTTCTTGTCAGTAATATTTAGTGATTTTGCCAAGCAGTTTGTACAAAACAAAATTGCAATACCAATTTCAAAATAAACCTTTATAATGAAAGTAGTTCCTGGTGTAACTTATGTAAGAAGAATCTTACTTTGTGTGTTATTGCCTCATTTTACAATCATGATAACAAAATGACTCTTGGAATAAGGAGACATAGTATTATTGATCTTGGTGACATGATTGTTGCTATATAGCAGTCTTCAAAATAAGTAGCTTCACAGCAATCTTAAGGGACACTTGGTGCTCTCAAGTTAAAAAATTAATATAAAATGGGCTTGGTGGCTCAGCCTGTAATCCCGTGCCTTTGGGAGGCTGAGGTGAGTGGATTGCCTGAGCCCGCGGATTCGAGACCCGCCTGGGCAACTTGGCAAGACCTCATCTCTACAATAAATAAAAAAATTAGCCGGGTGTGGTAGTGTGTCTGTAGTTCTGGCTGCTTGGAAGGCTGAGGTGGAAGGATCGCCGGAGCCTGGCAGGTCAGCCTGCCGAGGCTGTGGTGGCCAGAGCCCAGCAGGTCGAGGCTGTGGTGGCCAGGAGCGGCCGCTGCACTCCAGTCTGGGCGATGGAGTGAGACTCCAACTCAAAAAAACAAACAGAAAAAACAAACAAAAAAACCCCACAAAAATTAACATAAAACGCATGTATTGGCTTTGGTTCCCTCCCCTACTTCAGTGAATCTTTCCTCTCTTTCTCTCTAATCTACTTTATAAATAAACTATATTTTCCAATCTAAAAAATAAAAACAAAATTACTTTTAAGGGAAATATTTGGAAGCATAAATTAAGGAAAATATTTGGAAGCATACCTGAAATAATTTTAGGAGTCTGGATTTCCACGAAACCTTTGTTAATTAAAGTTTCTCGGAAGAGATGGCAGATGCCAGACTGGAGAAGAAAGACGGCCTGACTAGTTGATGTCTAGAAGACAATAATCACATCTAATTAAATCAACACATTTAATTACTGAGTACTCATTGTGTGTGCTAGGCACTATAGAAGTCTGAAGGTAAATAAAACTGTTCTTGTGTTCAACATTTAAAAACTCTAATAGTTGCAAAGAAGACCAAAGCACACAAATAAATACAACACAAGGCAGAAAGACATACTGGAATGTAATAGCCATGTATGATCATAAAAACTATTTTCACTAGAAATGCTTGGTGAACAGATGTTTTAATTTGTAGGAATTCCATAAAAAAGAAACAACAAATGAAACACTTTAATTGTGAGTTCTCTTAGTGTTTTTTTGAAATGCAGCCCATTAAATGAGATATACCAATGTTTGTGCAGCATACTAATAGTCTCCTAAGGAAAGTTAGATTTTATTTGATGATAAATGAATAAAGTCACCACGTACTTTTATCTGAACCATTACAATATGTTAATTGCAGTCATGTAAACAAACAAACAAATAAAAGGGGTAGACAGTCCATGATACCGATTTCCAATGTGGCACTTAAAACAGTTAATAGCAAAACTCTAAACTGTCCAGTATAGTCACCTTTTCTTTCTACTGTCTCTTCCCTTCCCTTCTTTATCAGTTTCTTTGGTCTCCCTATTTTTCTTTTAGCCTCAATCAGTTCTGCCTCAATTACCTGTAGAGCTTCATAAGACTAACTTTTGTCCATTTCTTTGGTCTAAAGAAGTGGCTTCTTTAGGTCTTGCTTCTCATACTAAAAAATAAAAGAGTTATCCTATGGCCAGTAAAATATGTTCAGTAAATATGTGTGTTCAGTAAAATATGGGACCTGAAATCACTAATTAATGACAGTTAGATGAAGAAGCTGTCTTATTAATCTTATTACAGGAATTCTGATTACTTGTCCCATGTCAAAGAGCTCATTCCTTCTGCATTTATACAGTAGCACCCTTGAAAACACTATTATGGAATGACTATGCTACATTGCTTTCATTGTTAAAAATGCTATTTCTTTCTTTTGAGTTGGAGTCTTACTCTATCACCCAACCTGGTGTGTAGTGGTACACTCATGGCCCCCACAGCCTCAACCTGCTGGGTTCAATAGATCCTTTTGCCTTAGCCTTCTACGTAGCTGGAGCCACAGGCATGTGTCACCACGATGCCCAGATAATTTTTTGATTTATTGTAGAGATGAGGTCTCACCATGTTGCTCAGGCTGGTCTCGAACCTCTGAGCTCAGGTAATCTTCTCACCTCTGCCTCCCAAAGTGTTGGGATTATAGGTGTGAGCCACTATGCCTGGCAAAAAATGCTACTTCAATAACTGCATTTTTGCAGATCAGGGCTAAAAAAATTCATGTAAACCAGTCATATTTAAATATTATTTTACAATTCACACTCAAAGATACAAATCAGTAATTTCTCATAAAACAATGAAGATAATTTTAAAAACCTCCGTAATTTGTTAGATTATTTCCTTACTCCTTTTCAAGATGTCTACATTTAAAGTAGAGAGAAAGACTTGTGGCTTTTTTTTCCACACATGTGGTTTAGGGAAATATTTGGTTCATCCAATCAAAACAAATTGCATAATCTTCTGCATTCAAAAACCTAGAAACCTATTTAAAACAAAAAGCTGTTTCACTGTTACTGACATACATACAGAGATGTATTTCACTTCAGTGAAATAGATTTTATTTAAGAAGCTTACCGAATACATTTTATTGCCATTTGCTTCTTAGCTAGCCCAACTAAACTCACTTTAATTTCTTACTAAATGCAAATTACACTTTTGAACTGGTTGCCACAGTTTATATAGCATTAGTAAAAATTTCACTAATTATGTTTTTAAAAACTGTACTATGCTCACATTTTAACTTCCTGATTGCATAAACAAGTATATTAATGTGTGACAGTTATGGAGAAAACAGATTTGTATATAAGAAAAAGCAAGCCGGGCTCGGTGGCTCAGCCTGTAATCCGCGTCTTTGGGAGGCTGAGGTGAGTGGATTGCCTGAGCCCGCGGGTTCGAGACCCGCCTGGGCAGCGAGACCTCATCTCTACAATAAATCAAAAAATCAGCCGGGCGTGGTAGCGCATGCCTGTAATTCCGGCTACTCGGAAGGCTGAGGTGGAAGGATCGCAGGAGCCCAGCAGGCGAGGCTGCGGTGGACGGAAGCGGCCACTGCACTCCAGTCTGGGCGACAGAGTGAGACTCCAACTCAAAAAAAAAAAGAAAAAGCATTTTTTTTTCTTATTAGGTTCTTCCAAGCACTTGCTAAATCCTAGGAAGACAGGTATCTACTTGATTAGACAGCGAAAAATTTTCTACACAGTAATTCCAATGTGCAATATATGCTCATTTCCATCTAGCATTTACATACTGGAGAGTATTTTCTAGCAGATTCTAGCTTTTAAATGGTTTAAAATCAGAGGAGGACGGAAAAAAGAAATAAACAAAAAGGAATTACTAAATATAAGATGTTCTTTAAAAGTAAATAACAAGGAAAAAATATTTCAAAATAAATCTTCAACTATTCTGATTACTTAACATACTAACAAGAATATTCATTGTACTGCAAAGAGAATCATATTGTGCTAGTGAATTCAGACTAGCTATTCTCTGCTGGTTAGAAGATAAAGAATTAATATTGAGATTAGTATCCCTGGTAAACCCTCTAACTTTGCCCAGAGAAAAATACTATCCTGGAAGAGGGTTCAGCAGACTGCACTGAAGTCTGAGAAACTCTCTCACTCACTGCTGGTTCTTCAGCATTATCACAAGAGAGGACAACACATAGTAGTCAAAATCTAAAAAACAGTAACGGTATTTTTCTTTTCCTGGTAGAATCAGGTCACTGCGGGTAGTGTACATCTAAAAAGAACCAAAATAGTTTTTTTCTTTTTTAAAAATAGACTCATTTTTAAGCTGTTTCCCTGTTATATATTACTATAATTGACTTCTCCCAATGTGTAAACAATTTAATTAAGGTAAAAATTAACAATGACCCAAATTCTCAATAAGATTACAGAGTGTATAACAAAAGAAATATATGTTTAATAAAGTAATTGTGTATTAAACCTATTTCAAATTAAATGCTTCTAAAATATAATAATACATAAAGTTAATGTAATATATGTTAATTTCAATGCAAAGGTATAACTGAACCTTATTTTCAACTGGCAAGGAATGTACAAATACTTTATATATTTAATTTCTCATTGCTATACTTATCATTACCTTAAAATATACAAGTGAAAGAGAAAAAACTTTAACATTTAGGTAATAAACCATATTAATGATGTTGGTTTCTAAGATGTTTAAACCTAAAACTTGTTTTGGGTCAAATACAATAATCTAATAATCAAATAATAATCGATAATCTATAATCTTCAATAATCTAATATGTGAAAAAATAGTACTTACCCCACATTCATCAAACAAATATTTATTATATGCCTATTGGCAATGGGCCAGGTTTTAGATAATAGTGGTGATTACAGTGGGCATGAAGTAGAAGACAAATGAAACAGAAAGCACAAAACTAATTTTTATATACTTAAAAAAATTATTTTCAAAAAACAAAAACCCAGTCCTTGAACTTCACTTCTGAAAAGTCTGACATTCCTTATATTAAAATAGTATTTTTTATTCCATAGCAAATCTTTCAAAAATGTGATTATTAAAATTAAAATACTGCTATTCTGTATTATGTAAATGACCTGAAATAAAGGGAAAAACAATATTCTTTATTTATAGAATTCCTTTATCTGAAGTCCTCATAACACTAGAAAACAAACATTACATCTTTTATGAAGAACAGAGGCAGGTGCATGGAGAGAATTAAGGGTGTTGAGAAAGAATTCCAATAGAAGACAAAAATTCAAACAAATCTAACCTTTATAATGAAATCTTTAATAGTACTCAGTTCCTTACAAATCTGACAACAAATTATTCTGATGTTATGTTAGGCTTGTGGCATTTAAAAATACCTATTTATCATCTTAACTGTACCCACTACAACTTTTGCTTTTAGTGTCTGCAGAGACTTCTGTCAGTTTATGATTTAAAAAGTCAGGTAACAGAGACATTATTGTGGAGGTGGAATATGGAACAAGAGAGAAAGTAGAAAAGGGAGTAGAAAGACTTCTAAAATGATATCTGATTTAATTACAAAAGGAACTACTATAAAAAATCAGATTGATACAGAATATCTAATCAAGCAAAAGTAATGTCTATGAGAAAGATCTAAACTATCTGCACTTGCTATTACATCACTGTAATGAGGGATTCCTGTAGTGTTGAGGTTAACTCTGTACCAGGACATTCCAACATATACCCGTTTGAATGTATGACAAAAATGCTAGCAGATCAAGTATGTATGTCCTACGGATGAACCCTGTGATACACACAGCAGTGCTGAGCATCCCTAAAAGATTTTTGTGATTGATGCATTGGTTCTAGAAGCTAACAGATAATGACATCCCTGAGGATACCTTCCCCTGACTACTTCAGACTATCTAGATCTACTTCATAGAACTCCTATAGCTGTGGTGATCAAACATCTATCATCTTCATGGCAGTCCCAAGTTTCCAACATTCTGTTCACTGCTGACACAAACCAGTATTTCTTAAGCTTGTCTTTTGCCTTCTACTATCATTTCTGTCATACTGGTTACCACCTGTACTATTATTTACTATTTTTCTTTAAATCATGTTTTAAAATTTGGTACATCCTAAGCAATACCATCCATGAAAACATGGATTTTATTTGATGCTTACATCACACAGTTATTAAAATAAAGAATGCACATCTGTGTAATACCCAGAAATTGCTGTGTACCTCCAGTGGTGAGGGTACCATACTTGGAAAACCACTGTGAAACCAATGAATGTCATATAAATTGCAATAAATTGGCATCAAAATTATATTGCCAAGATAGTCTCTTGTACTACAAGAGCACAAAAAATCTTTAGGAGCACAGATTTTGATTTTTGGTTTGGAAAACATTTATTAAAAGTAATGAGGTAGGTAGCAAGTTAGAAGATAGGCACTTGATTATAAATTACCTAATTTCTCTTTAATTGTATCAGGATATTATGGCTTTGTTAAGACAATTTTAGGGATACATGGAAAACAGGCTTATTTCCAATCATTTAGTGGAGGCTTCATGGAATGCTGTGTGGCAACTCCAAGGTGAATAGCAACGGTATTTATGTAGTATGATGTGACTGGGGGTATCTGCCACGGATGTAGGGAGAGAATTATCCTATGTACTTGTCTTGATTTAAGTGGCTAACAGTTTGTCCAAGAAAAAAGAATGGTGGGGAAAGGTATGTGTGAAGACAAAGATGACCAATTTCAAAACAAAAGATATACATAATTGATTAGAAGAAACCACAACCATAACAGCAGACACTGTTCATTCATACTTACAAGATCAAAGTAGGGTTCATTACTGAGAAACAATACATGCTTAGATAGTTACTTTATTAACCCCTGCACACCAAAATATACCTAAACATTAAGGGAAAAAAATATGCCATAGAAATATGTAGGTAGAATGGGCTATTTTGATACTTTGGTTTCAGAGGTAGCACTGAGGATAATTAGTAAAGGAAGGGAACTTGAAGATAGCTGGAGGGTATCCTGCAGGGTCTCTTGAGGGTTAGGTTGCCTGTGAGTCCTCAACTGCCTATCCCCTTGGCCATGTCAAATGACATGACAAAAAAGAGCTAATATAATACATCTATTAAAATGGCTTCGTTTCTGTGCTTACCTGGAATCCCAAGGGAAGGCATGCCTATACTAAGACGTCTTGTATAGAGCTAGTTTGAGGTTATATTAGGAGTTTAGACATAAACAAAAAGCAAAAACTCCTCAGGCCAAATTCTAGAGGCACAAACCAATGATAACTTGTGTGAACAAACAGCATGGGCAAGCAAAGAATGATGTCTAATTCTTGTGGCCAATCTAAAAGAAAAACCTGAGGTTTCTAGGTAGCATCAAAAAGACTTTTGATTACTGCTTGCTTTTTCAATATAAATGAAAATGGAAAAGGTAAAAGCAGACAAAAAGCAAATAATCAGGAATAACGTGAGTATAAGATAAGGGCAGATCTACCTGATTGCAGAAGAGTTGGAAAGAACTCTAAGGTGACAAAGAATTTGAGCTTTAGGTAGAATATTTAAGTAAAAAAGGAAGATGTGGTTAAAATATTATGAAAGAAAGATGACTACTACAATAATGATGAAACCACTAATTCTCTTTCACTTGCAACCAAACCAGAAAAGGAAATAGAAGACCCATGAGACTACTGTATAAACCACCAAGGTTAACTGCTTCTATATTTTTAGTTCTGTGTTCAGGTCAAATTCAAAGGATTGAGGCATTACTCATTTCTATCTGGTTGTTCTAAAATATACATATACATGGTTCATAATTATGGAGTGATATTAATGGTTATGAATCTACTTGCCAACTTGTCTAAAACAGGTAGCACCTGGAAGTAAGCCCATGTATTGGTTTCAAGTTCATCTGTCATTTTAAAACTAAGCAAGTCCATATCTAGTGAACTATTACTTGATTGTTTTGTTACCTGCAGTTCTTTTTAGGGGAAATGTCAATCAGAAAGGTAAATTGTTTCTTGTATTATCATACTTACATATAAGCAAATACCACTTAGTTTATAACCTGAGGCAGGTATGGCATCCCTGCCTCTCTTGATTTTGAAATAATTGTGCCACTTCATAAATAAATGAGGCATACCCTAAGATCAATGACTCTGTTGTCTAGTCTTGTATCTTGATTAACAGTAGCTCTTCCTTCCTAAAAAAAAAAAAATTCAAAAAACAGATTTTACTAATTTTTTGAAGAACACAAAAAACACTTTTGAAAGACACGTTTACTTTTAAGTGAGCATGGGCGCGTATATGTTAATATTATACCCCCCAAATCAGAGATCCCAAATAATGGTAGAAACAAGAAGCGAGGCCAGAGAGAAGAGAAAGAATAATCAAATGTTAATATTTTCTTTCCCGTCTCCAGTGCCAAAAGCCTCGCCTCATTATTAGGATATCAAAATTAATTACCACATCTTCATTGATTCCTGGATTTAACTTGCTAGTCCAAGTTAAGGAGCAGATAAAAGCTGATAGAGAGTAGTACTGGTTCCCAACATGTGGTCTGAGAAGCAATGAAGGTCCCTGAGACTTTCAGGAAGTTCATGAAGTCAAATTTATTTTTTCATAATACTTTTTCAATCTCACTCTTCATGAGTGTACTGAGGCATTTTCTTTTCTTTTCTTTTTTTTTTTGAGTTGGAGTCTCACTCTGTCGCCCAGACTGGAGTGCAGTGGCCACTCCCAGCCACCACAGCCTTGACCTGCTGGGCTCTGGTGATCCTTCCGCCTCAGCCTTCCAAGTAGCTGGAACTACAGGAGTGCGCTGCCACCCTCGGCTAATTTTTTGATTAATTATAGAGATGAGGTCTCGCCAAGTTGCCCAGGCAGGTCTTGAACTCATGGGCTCAGGCAATACACTCACCTCAGCCTCCCAAAGTGGCTGGGATTACAGGCTGAGCCACCGAGCCTGGCTACTGAGGCATTTTCTAAAGACTATATGACAGTGCACTATTATGACAGAATGCATGAGAATGTAGTTGTAGTCTATTACGCCACACATTACAAAGATTATAGATATATGTACATACAATGTCACTCTTAATAATTATTTTTTTGTTTTAAAAAATAGTGACTTTACATAAATCATGTTATTGTATTTTTATTATTTATGTGAGTAATACTGTATATGTAAACATGTGATACATTTACATTATTTTCAATAAATTAATAAATATTCAAAATTTTCTGTTTTAACATCCAATACTATAAGTATACCAACAAAACAAAAGCTTGTGGGGTCCTCAATTATTTTTAAGAATGTAAAAGGAAACTTGAGACCAAAAAGTTTGAGAATTATTGATTTTAAGAGTAAATTTAAATAAAAAGTAGAGCTCAGATTAACTCACAGACACTAAGTATAACAGTAGGGCATCCATTTTCAATGTTTTGCAAAGTAAATATGTAGAGGAAGCATAATATTTCATAGGTATGATTTTTACCTCTTCTCCTTCCACCTCAGGCCGAACGGCATCATCCAGCTGCAGGGGCAGGCGGGGTTCAGCCAAACTGATCACATAAATCTGAAAGTGAGAGATTGCCAAAAATAGCAGGAAGCATACAAAACCTTGTCTTTTGCTTTTAAAAAAAAAATTTACAGTTGACTTAAACTTTAACTGATATTACTTGCCAAAATCAAATAAGATGGTACATACTTTTCACCTTTTCAATAGGGATAATATTTTGACTACCTTCATGGGTTGCTGGAGTAGTCAAATAAGATATACAAATACTTTGTAAACTCTAAGGTGCCTACCATTGTAATAAATAAGTAATGACTGGGGAGGGGGGAGCACTGGGCTTAAGGCCTAGCTTTGTAACATAAAAGTTATTATTAAGCAAATCACTTAATCTCAAAGATTCAATTAAAATGAGTCTGCTATAGGAAACAAGGAGAGTAATGAATGGAGAAAGACTTTACTCATGTGAAGGGGCCATTAGCATAGGACTTGTTATTACTGTTAACGGCATTTGCCCAGTGCTACCACTAGGACCAAATTCAGACCAGCTTTGCCGTACTTCCTTTTCTCATTCTTTCTGTTTCCAAGTATGCCTCCATTACCCTCTCTCATCAAATATGTTACATCTCATTTCCCAACATGCTCTAGGTTGGGAGCTGCCCTAGAGGATGTTCCTTTATGTTGTTAAAATCCCTCAATATTCAATCACAGTAATTTTACATTTTAGTGATAAAAAGCAGTTAAGCCATAAAGACTGAGCTACGATTTTTTTTTGGCTACCTTTAAAAACATGTTACCACATTAATTATTCCCCAAAACACCTGGAAAACCTGCTGAAGCACAAAAGGGAAATAGATCTTATTTAGTCAATTCAGGAAAGGGAATTCTATTCTTCCAATTGGCAGATCACATTTAGCACTCAGCTTAGACACTGCAATAAAAAGTGTAGGATACTCAGTATTCCTCAGAGTAAAATAAATTATTTGTCATCACTCCCTAAACCCAAGTTGTAGGGGTTTCTTTGATGAGTTGGCAAGAAATTTGATCTCCAATTCAAATTGGCGAACTGCAGAGCTAGGTTTTCTACTTTTATAACTAGTAGGAATTCATCATTCCCTTCATTAGATTGTGAGTACTTTAATCCCCAGATTAAATGATTATATATAACCATTAACTGCTAGTTGAATAAATAAATAAGGGAAAGTCATTACTTATATTAAGATTCTATTTAGTACATAATAGTTTATGCTTTCTAATTATTTTTATTAAGGTAAAATTGTAAGCTCCTTAGGCTCAAAATTTATTGTTAACATTTATTAAGGTTGTACTGTATGCATTAGATAATAAGAATATCTTAAAAGTACATTAGTTTGTTCTAGTCACTAAAATTTTCTTAAACTATTGAAAAATATGTGTTACTTGGAAGATGTGGGAGTAATCTTTCTTGGTCAGCATAAACGGGTTTATTCATTCATCTTTACTCTTAGCCTTTGGTTAGTTTGTCTTCACTATGATACAGACATCTTGGTAGAGTTGGTTCAAGATGTGAATTGCACGAAGAGAACAAAGTCATTTGTCAAATTAGGTCAGTAAAAAATACAAGATTTTCTAGGTCTTGAAGAGTGCCATGACAATCAATTACAGTTAAATACAACCTTACTCCCAAATGAGTAAGACATATGGGTCTATCTCTGAATCTGACTCCCTTAATATACTTAAGGATCACACACGTGGGTGGGAAGAAGCCATCCTGTTTCAGACTATTCCTTTAGAGAACTGAGTGATGCATGTTGTAGACACATTCTAGACCTGAACCTGAGAACTGCAGGTTCAAAGTTGCAAGGTAATTTCAATAGGAATAAATGTGTGAATTCACTCATGACATTTTAAGTCAATGAACATTTTCAGTTTTCAAGCCAGAGAAAACAACAGATCAGGGAGGTTATAAAAAAAGATGCTACTGCTGGAATGTAAGATCAATATAGCATTATCTGTTTTGACTTCTCTATGATATAAAAATAGAATGATGAGATATGAGATTAAGAATTGGTATAGCCCGGGCGCAGTGGCTCAAGCCTGTAATCCCAGCACTTTGGGAGGCCGAGGTGAGAGGATTGCCTGAGCCCACGGGTTCGAGACAAGCCTGGGCAACTTGGTGAGACTTCATCTCTACAATAAATAAAAAAATTAGCCGGGCAGGGTGGTGCGTGCCTGTAGTTCCAGCTACTTGGAAGGCTGAGGCAGAAAGATCACCTGAGCCCAAGTGACCAGGAGCGTGCCACTGTACTCCAGCCTGGGTGACAGAGTGAGACTCCGACTCAAAAAAACAAAACAAAAAAAGAATTAGTATAATTAATCATCCTTTGAAAGTACATCATCAGAGGAAAATTTATAGCAATACAAGTCCAATAATTTTCTCTATTTGTGAAGATAGTTTTTTAGGCGTGTTTTTGCTTTTCCCTATACGACTGTGATAGACTGTGAAAATGGCTACAATACTTTTTCCTCCTCTTGTACATATATTCCCTTGCAATGATGTTGCCTTTTCTCCCATCAAGAGCTGGAATCTATTTCTCTACCTCTTAAAGTTGAGTTTTACCATGTAACTTTGACCAATGGGATATTCAGCACACGTGACACAAGCAGGAGCCTGAAAACTGCTTGTACACTATGGCTTCTCTCTCTTGCTTCTGAGAACCCTCCCAGTACCATGTCAATATGTCTGGGCTAGGTCGCTGGATGAGGCGAGGCCACAGGAAGAAATGCCCCAGATATATCAGTGAGCCCAGCCAATGCCACATGGATGACATTCCAGCTGGGTGCATCACAGCACTGTGTACAAATGTTTATTGTTTTGAGTCAATTAAGTACTGGGGTGATTTGTTATATAACAAAAGCTAATTGATTCAGTAACCAATTATAAAGCTCAATATTCTCTATCAACTCTAATTATTAAGAACATATATATTGACATGAAAAACTGTTGGAACTTGAATCTAGTTCTATATGCAATTTTACATTTTGATAGAATTTACCTTCTGAACATGCAGCTCAACATCTTGCTGTGTACAGCTTCCAATTTTCTGACTCACTTTTCTCACAACTCCTTCTACATCCACAATGCTCTCTTTGTTGATGCTGTCAAGAGAAGAAATTCCCAACTTTAATCATCTCATCAGAGGTGTCAGAACTCATTTGGTGTTTTAGCAGTAGAGTATGTTAAACTCTTCTTTAATACAGTAAGCCCCTTGAGATTAAGCCAGTCTATTTAACCTACTTAGAATAAGCTGTGGTGTAGCATACCTTGCAAGATTCCTTGAAGAGATGACTTTTTAGATGCCATAATTTAGTTGCCATTTATAAAATACTCTGGACATAAAAAATAATAGGACCAGCACTGAATTGGGAAAAGTAGTAAAAAGTCACTTAATTATTTATCAAAGAACATTTCCCTCCCTATATTTGAGATTTACTAAGATCAGCATTTCCTATAACAAGAAATATTGGCTTCAATAAATGCAATTACTGGTATGTAATAGAATTAAATAATAGAAGAAGGTCAACTGAAAAGATTTCAAGGTAACAAGAGGACATTAGGGTGCTGTTTTGTAATTAAATTGTCATTTCCTTTAGTTTCTGAGTATACACTATCATTGGATTTATGACAGACAGCATTGTAGACTGTGAACTCCCATCTGACATAATGCCTACATGAAGCCTAATACATGATGAGTGTAAGGAACACGCACATCCTAGGCAGGCTATTCTATAACAAACTTGAATTCTGAACACTCAAATTCTGAAATACAAAATTTATGAAGTAAATCAATTGATTATTTTTTGATTACCAGTACATAACCAAGGGAGAAAACACATTAAACCATATAAACCAAACGGTAATTTAAATACAAAAAGTACCAGTTTTATTTTTGTGTATATTCTTATGGATAGAATGTGTCATAATATATTTGGTGAAAAGGATAAGATTTAACTTTCATGGAAAAATTCTACTCATTCTGTTGAGGAATTGATTTTTTGAAGTAGTGGTGGAACTAGACATTCCAGAAACCAGACAGTGCTTATTTTACACACATGAACACCACAGTCCATTTCAATGAACATTTGTCCAGGGTTAAAAAGGGATCAAAATAAGGATAACAGGTGAAGAGTAGTGAAGAAAGAAACAAATATACTTCACTTTGCTACACTGACTAGAATTCTGTCTGTTATCTATTACCTAAAAAATCAAACAAAACCAATATCACACATTTTTCTTGCACTTTCACAAGTCGCCTACACTAGTGCTATCACCTAATACCTAGCTTAAAATCTTGTGTTCTGAAGAAACTCAGAATTTATTGTGGCAAAAGAATAGTTGATGAATCAAGATAAGGCTCCTCTGAGACCAGAATTCAGAATTCAAGAGGATTCAGTTTACTGTTAGGAGGGCTTCCTCACAGTGACAAGCTAGTGACACTGAATCTATCTTCAGTGTGATTGCTACCTACCAACTGCCTCATCTGTTTGCACGAGCACATGTGACATCTGAGAATATGATCCAAGCCTGGGAAAATTCCACTGCCTATCTCACCTGTCTCCATGAGAAAGATTTTCTCCCCTGCAATGATCAGTGTACTGCTTCACTGAGTCACTTGACCTGCCCCAACTAGAGCTCCACCCTGCTACCTTTTCTCTATGTCCCAGACCCCCTCGGTTCTCTTATCTACCCCCTTTTGACTCCCTAGTTGAAGATACCTGCTGGCCCTCTAGACCTTCCATATCAGGCAGTCTTCTTCAAGTCAATTCAAATTAAACTCTTCTTAAGGACTGAGCATCATGCAAGACACTCTGCCCAGGGTTGGCAGGTTGGTCTAATTAAAGCAAACAAAATTTTCTCTTCTTTCCCCCTCAGGAGTACCAGATGACTCCTTTCACCCGGGACCTGGAACTTGGAACTATGTCTACCTTTAGTACTTTACTTAATTCAGTAGTATTAGGTGCAAAAATACCTGATCAGCTAGTCTAGAAAACAACCACCATTTTAAACATTGTTTCCAGTTCTAAACAACTTACAAAACAACTTCTGAAAACAGTCTAATTCTTAAGCAAGGGCCAAAGCTAAATTTCTGCAACTGCAAATTGGTCTACTGAATCAGTCAAAAAGAAGGCAGGATTAATCAGATTAATCAGATATAGAGAATAGTTAAAATTTTTCTGCCTTTCTATTCTCAGTGTTTTCCCTTATTATACTTAGCTGTTAAAATAATAGCCCATTAGATATTTAGCTCAAATGTCTCTACACAACTACATCTACAGCCATATCTGTATCTATTTCTATTTGTAAACACAGTGAATTCAGAAGAAAAAACATTAAAACAAAAAAGGTCAGATTTGCAAAACAGGATCAAACTAAAACTTGCTAGCTAGAACTTGTAAAAGGCTGTATGGAGGCTTTATATGTGTGTGTATAAAATTAGTTAAAACAGAGGAATTGAAATACTTGAGTACACTGCTGCCAGTAGAAGGATAAAGGTCCACTGTGATTGTAACAACACAGTCGAATTCATTTGATTTTAACTGACACTGTATATGAAGATGACACAATAGTTAACAGTGTATATGCTATAGTTTAATATTATAGCGAGACCTTATTAAGGTTTCGGGTTTATATTTTGAAACTAATAGGCCACTATGACTATATTTTTAAAAAGCATTGAATCTATCAGGCAACTAAAAGCCTTGAGTTTTTACAGAGGATGTGTCAAGCAAAAGGAAAAACCCACGGTAGAAAGTAGAACTCATGGCAACTATTATATTTCAGAAGAAATAGATAAAATAAATTAAACATATTGTTTCAAGAGCTAAGTCAGCTACCTTTATTGTCACCATCACGCTCCAAACACATCATCACTGCATTGTGTTTTATATTTCCTTCATTTTCTAACCACCCTTCTGACCCTCCACATAATTAATCATTCTATAAATCAGATACAGTAATATAGCCTTGATATTAAAATGCCCTAGTATTTTACAGCAGATTTCATGTTATGCATTAAAAATTGTCAATCATCAACTGAAGTTTTTGTTCTAACTAAAACCATCTTTATAAAATACAGTTGTAGAAAGCACTCTTCTTCTTCTTCTTTTTTTGAGAGAGTCTCATTTTGTTATCCAGGCTGGTGTGCAGTGGTGCGATCCCAGTTTACTGCAGCCTTGACCTCCTGGGCCCAAATGATCCTTCTGCCTCAATCTCCAGAGCAATTAGAACTGCAGGTGCGTGCCACTGTGCCCAGTTAATTTTTGTATTTTTTTTTTTTTTTTTTTGCAAAACGAGATCTTGCTATATGCCCAGATTGGTTTTGAACTCCTGGGCTCAAGTGATTCTCCTGCCTCGGCCTCCCCAAGTGCTGGGATTACAGGCATGAGCCACCACACACCTGGCCAGAAAGAACCATTCTTTACATAAAATATTTTATAAGAATATTCTGAGTTGGCTACCAGTTTAAAAACAAAACAAATGACAATGTATGAGTAACACAAACAATGATAGATAAAACATAGAATTTTGGGGGAAAACTACACCGTGGTTAGTTTTTCTGAAGAAGAATTTTATCTTTCCAACACTAGTGACATATTTTATTACTTAGGATCCCACTAATAACTTCAGGGACATTTTCAAGATCTGTAGTTCTATCAATCTTGATTACCAGTTTTCAAATCTATATCACATAAGCAAGAAACAAAAAAGTCTGGTGGAACTATTCAAAATGGGATTAAGCTAACAGTTGATTGCTGCAGATTTTATACATACACACACAAAGCAGGAGAGTGGTAAAGAGCTACATTATAACCTAGCACAGTAATAGACGTTGATGATAATGGTCTTCTGTTATTATGAAAAAGTTAAAAAGAAAGTGTAAAACAGACTTCAAAGATTCTATTTAAATGCTCAAGACAATTCCAGTAAGTGAAGGAGGAAAACTTCATAGTCTAAAATAATCTAATGAGTAATGCCTTATTCTTTATTGTAAAAAATTTTTTAAAGTTCTTAGCATATCTCTGTAGTACACTGAGATATGAGTATTGGTCTCATGTCTTCATCCCCTATGGTTCTAGTATACACCCAAACCCTTGTCATAGCTTCAAGGTAAGTGGAAAGTACTTTTCTGCCCTTTGACTTTAAGTTTGGCCATGTGTTCCCACTAAGGCTAAGGCATCCTTGCTGAAAATCAGTTGACCATATTTGTAAGGGCTTATTTTTTGGGTTCTCTATTCTATACCATTGTTTACACAAATGTCTTTAATATCAGTACCATACAGTTTTGATTACTGTAGCTCACAATAAGTTTTAAAATCAGACAGCGTGAGTCCTCCAACTTTGTTCATTTTCAAGACTGTTTTGGCTGTTTGTGGTCCCTGGAGATTCCATATGAATTTTAGGATAGGTTTTTCTACTTCTGCAAAAAATGCCAGTGAAATTTTGATAGGGATTGCACTGAATCTGTAGATTGGTTTGGGCAGTACTGTCATGCTACTGAGTTTTAAGGTGGCTTGTTACTCAGTATATATATATATATATTTTTTTTTTGTCCACAGCTGACTAATAAAATCTTAACCTTAAGAAAGTTATCAAATTAAAAAAAAAAATCCTAGCCGGGTTTGGTGGCTCAGCCTGTAATCCTGTGCTTTGGGAGGCTGAGGTGAGTGGATTGCCTGAGCCCGTGGGTTCGAGACCCACCTAGGCAACTTGGCGAGACCTCATCTCTATAAAAAATAAAAAAATTAGCTGGGCATGGTAGTGCGCACCTGTAGTTCCAGCTACTTGGAAGGCTGAGATGGAAGGATTGCCGGAGCCCAGCAGATAGAGGCTGCGGTGGCCGGGAGCGTGCCACTGCACTCCAATCTGGGTGACAGAGTGAGACTCCAATTCAGGGGGAAAAAAAAAATCCTTGAGATCAAAGCAATCAGGTGATCATAAAGGCTTTGAAAAAAGTAAAAGTTTACTTGTACTTCCGTCATACATACAGTGAGTACCTACAATATGTATTACATGTTACAAAGAGATGAAAATACAGATATATACAATCTGACTATAAAATATTGGGGTTGATTTTTTATAGAAAAGCAGAATTTATCCA